CAGGCAGTATTTTATATTTAAAAATATAAAGGTATTTCATAAGGTCACAGTTTTCTTAAAAAAACACCCTATCTCTTTTGACTTGTGGCACATTTTATGACAGATTTATCTTGCGTTGCATCATCTCCCCAAAAGGTGAGTAAAACTCTCATCGCTCAAATAAAAGCGACCGAGCTGAGTGCAGGATTGTTTACTTTCCACTAACTCCCAGCCTGTCGTGATGTGAGCAGACATCCTGTCTGTTCAGCCGTTGTTCTGAGAATGTTGTTTATGAGGCTGTGTGTGCTGCCAGATGCTGCATTGTAATTGAAAGGAAACCGTCTGGACTCTCCTTCCTCCTCCTGCTTGTGCTGTTGGCACTCCAGGAACGTTAGCTCTAAGTGGAGCTTTACTGGCTCATTTATTTATACACTCCTTCCTTCTCTGCTCCCTCTGTTTTCTCTATTTATTGCACTCATAATAATCCCAACACTGATTGTCTTATTTGCTAAATTTGGTGAGAGATTTCCAAAAAGACAACACAGGATTTTCTGATTCCTTTTCCATCAAATGGTCCTGTCAAAACAGAGTATACTGAGCTATGCTAACATCTTATCGTATGCTTCATTACAGCTAATAGGCAGAGCTTCCTTGTGTTTGGATAAGTTACAGCTATTAGATCAATTAACTGGCATGTTTAAGGCAGTAAGAAAGAGATGTGAAACAGCTAAAAGCAGAAGTCATTGTGCGATATTTCATGTATCTTTGTCAGTGAATTACCAGTCAACCATTTTGGTATTGATAACATGTTATGGTAATGGTTTGTGTTTGTCTTTTACATTGGATTAATGATTAAGTAAATCCCAACTTTTAAACCCACACGAATTTAACAGATCTTTTTTCTGTAACTGTCCCTATATTAATGTACGGCAGAAACTCTTCAGAGAGAAGCCTTTCATTCCAGGACATTTCACCTGGTAAAAACAACAATTGTAGAGAACATTTAGATACCGTTAGAGACAAAGGCCCTTAGGACGCTTCACATAGACAATCTGTACCATGCCTAAGCACATACGCTTCACCCCTAAAGTTCAGTTCGTTTGACTAGTTTGAGTGCTCAGATCAGTGCTCAAGCATGCTACACTTCCTTAGCCCTGGAACTCTTGGAAGAGGTGTGTTTCAGCTCAGCACAGTTCATGTACGAGCACAAGCACGGGTACACAACGTGGACAGCCTAAGCTGAATTCACTAGCTTTCTGCCAAAAAGAGTGTGCACCTGTGTTTGAGGTGTTTCAAGCTAACTTTAAGGGGATACAAAAAGCAAGAGCGTATGAAAGCTGTAAGAGCAGATTACATGCTCTGGAAAGAGGGGGAGTTGAGCTGACTGTGCAGTAACAGCTAAAGACATCCATCAGCAGGTACTTGAGGCTAAGGCGAAGTCTCATATTGAGCAGGGTGAGAGACGATCAAAAGATGATCCTGGGGTTAATGATGAGAAGGATGCATTCGCTCATGAGTTGGAAGACCTGAAAACAAGACTGGAGGAACTGGTCGCCTAACAAGCATGTCCTTTGACTGTAGGAGGAAGCCAGAGAACCCAGAGGGAGCCAATGCATGCAACGTGGAGTGGAGAACTCAACACAACGGCCCCTGCCTGTCAAAGATTTGAGCCAGGGACCTTTTCAGAAAACTGCCTAACTTTTATTGTCCTAGAGCTTAGATCAATCATAACCCACCTGCAGGTGGTCAATAGAATTTCAGTCAATCCAGTGTAATATTAAAGGTGCTAACCTTAATGCTCCTACATTTAGTAACGTAGTTCTGTTGCAATAAGAACTTGTGAAATATATAATATTTAAAGCATGCACTTGATATACATTGTCAATTTTCTCTTAACAGAAAGCTATGTAGCCCCCGGGATGTCTTTCCCACATAAACTCACAAACAACACGTATTGCACACTCACCAGTGGTGTGCAGACATCCTTCAGAATTCAGGTCACCGCTGTCGTCTATGTGGTTACCAAGGTGATATTGAGCCATTTCCTCCCACACTCCCCTGAGTGGCTGCTATTGCAAGTGTTGAGGACTAAGGTGAGAAGATGGTCATGGGGAGAAAATACTACAGGTTGGACGTGAGGAGGATTGTAGACGGAGAAAAAACACACACGTTTACCTTCCCTCCCCTCTGTAATGATGAGACAGCGGTGTCATTCAGGGCCAGCTAATGACAAATGCTTCATTATGGTGTGTCACAGTAGTCAGTGTATCATTGCTGTCTGGTCATGCATGACTCATGTGTGCTGCATGTCACCTCAGCTCTACAGAGTAGAGAAGACTGGCTTCATGCCTGCCAACATCTCTATGGAGAGAGAGAGAGAGAGAGAGAGAGAAGTCAATAAGCCACCAAACTTAAAACAAGTCTTCTACGCAGTAAAAATCCAACAGCAATAATAAACAATGAATGACAAATAATAAATAACTTGCCCGGCCAGATATTGCAGATTAAGACACAGATACCTGCTAACTACTTAGAATTTACATAATTCATTATCTATCACATAAGGGCATATAAAATACTATCAGAGGAATATTATGAGGTTATTAAAGCAACATTTCTCATATTGTAAGTGTCTTACCAGATACATTAAAGAAAAACTGATGGTTTAATGAATAGAACATGATTTAATGAATGTATTTCCTGTTGTTTATAGTCTATAGTGCACGTAGTTGTTCATTTGTATCCACCGCTGTTTGATAGGCCTAAATGTTTCAAAAAAATTATCGAAATGTGTAAAAGTATTATTAAATACTAAAAGTATAACATAAGTGTCAAATAGAAATATTCAAGTGAAAAACAGCATTTTCATCGCAGCATCTGACAAACTAAAGCAGGAGCTAATTAAAAATCACACACAGCTTCTTGTATTGCTTGTCAAGGATAAACAAACACTGCATACAGAATTGTTCTCTGCAGTCTGCACCTATATGACAATGTGACCTTTTCGGACATCTCACAGATGTTCAGGTTATACTGACAGGCTGTTGTGTGACAGAGATTGATGCTTGTGAGCAAACTGCCTGGGCTGGTGTTGAAATGGGAGAAAATGATCACCCTATCTTGTCTTCAGGAGCTTCATTAGTCTGTAGATTTGTGAGTCAGCTTCTTTGTGTGTGTGTGTGTGTGTATGTATGTCTGTGTGCATCTTGCTATGCAGTTGACTTTATCTGACAGCAGTCCTTTTGTGTCTACATTGTCCTGAGTTGCTGCAGGTAATTTCCACCACCTATTGTCCCCGCCCACAGTGCCAGAAAGTATCATTCGGCTCCAACCAACCGAGAACAGTACAGCTCTGTTGAAAGCCGATCCAGTCACAGTGACAAAAACTCTGGCAGTGAAGGACGGGTGGAGCGGGTAATGGTTTGGCAACTTGTTATTCTGTGCTGGGACTGGGAGGACTGGGATTGGCAGTGGAAATACACACATGCACACACCTTTCATTTGTGCTGAAGCTACTGTGAAGCTGGCTGTTGCCTGAAGTCAGAAGCGTTGGGAAAAGTAACAAAATGTTGTTTCTTTATGGCCGAGTTACAGCAATGCCACTATGTGTCACACTGAAATAATGTAAGAGCTTGTGATTGCTGGCTTACAGGCTCTGAACTCAAACGCCAGAGAACTCTAACAGACAGGTCATCTTGCAGTAAAGCTGGAATAGTATAACATATTTGACAGCTGGCTGTGTTACTGCTGCTGCTGTTGTCAGGGTGGGGAAAGAAGCAAATGCCAGCTTCTTTGATTTTGATTTATTTGCTTGTTGTGTTCCTCGCTTCATGGCTTGAATTTATATATACATATATATATATATATTTGTAAGATTTAGACACAAATGATGTATATTGTCTGCACTCAAAGGCAACATTGTGGCATAGAAAAGTGATGGCTCTCTTCCTGGCGGTGTAACATTTTTGCCACGGCAGGGTTTTGGCTCCTTGAAGCCAGACTCATACCAAACCACCGCGAGCACTCGGCTGTCTCTCTGTGCACTCAGCCAGAAACTGCAGCCTGTCCAACAAGAGCAGCAACAGGACACTGTCGACAAGATTTATGTCAGAGGAGAGAGAGACAGCCTAGGATGGGAGTCATGGAGGGTGTGGGGGAATTTCTGGGGTTTAGGATAGAAGGTTTTTTGTTTTTGTTTTGGCTTCTGTTAGTGAATGAGAATGAACAAAAGTGACAAGTAAAGGTGCAGCTGGAGCCAGATTGCTACTGTGTTTTGTCAATGGCCTGAACAGTAGCATTGTGTACCACCAAATCCTTCTACTGTTCCCTCTGACAGGTTGTCTTCTTAATATGTTGCATGTGCATTGAAACTCTCTGTTTTTACAGCCACAATAAATATGTACACAGGAGAGATGTCTAACAGGAGCTAATGGGCCTCTGAGGGAATACATGGTTTCGCAGGCAGGGACGTCGTAAGCACTACACCTTCTCTGGGCTTTCACAGCATAGACTGTAGTCGGAGATGTATAATCACAAAGTTTCCATCTCAGGTCACAAGAGTTTCCCTTTTCTGTAAGAGTTTGGAGTTTGAGAAAGAAACTCGCACAAATATAGCACAAACTCTTGAGAGACTTGGCCTGAATGTGCTATACATAAAACATACAACCCAATGGTACATTTGCACTGAGAATTTGCCTATGATAAGTACCAGTGTGGGTAGTCCTTTTCTTTGAACTGTCATTTTGTTTCTATTTTGTTTTCCTTTTTCATGCGCAGTGGGGAAAAGCACCATGTCGAAGAAACAAAAGAATACAGATGACAAAATGAAATGGGAATACAGTTGACGGGTACAAAAAGGGGATTTAGTGTTATTGTGCAGAACGTAACCTACTTACATGTGTATAAGAATATGTGTCTATTTTATTCTAATAGTATATGAGTCTAATATTTGAATATGTGTGACAGGCGACAGTTTGAAGGCGTTCATCTGACGGCTTCCTTTTATGTGTCTCCCCCTTTAGATAGCAGCGTTCACGAGGGAAGCACCGGCAACGACAACGATGGCAGCATCTGTGGCAGCGACTCTGCTTTCTACAGACAGAGTGAAGGTGAGATGTGTAGTGACGAACAGGTCTGTGGCAGTGTTGATGGGTCATTTCGGCCGCAATTACAATCGACATTATCGTTTCCACTCTACAGTTGCTTCTTGTCGGCCCCTGTTTGCTGTATTGATTTTTTTCCACTTTTCTCCCCTCTTTCCGTTCTCTTAAAAGGTCCGGCCTTTATGGTGATTGCTCATTAATTGTTGCCTTAACAAAATAGAGTCCATTATGCAAAGTGCATTTGTGTGTGTGTCGTGTGGGGGGTAAAAGTCGTCTTTCAATCATTAAACCGCAAACACATTAAGATTCACACAGATAAAATCAGAGCCTCCTACACACCATAGACAACACGCCTTACTCCATGTACTGAACAAATGCACAACCTGTATGCTCAAATAGATATGCACACAACCAGAGAAACCCCAGTCTCATGATAAAGCTAATTTCATCTGTTTGCCTGAGATTATGAGTTGTTAATGCGCTGATCAAGATCACCATTTAGATAATGACAGCCCACAAACAAACACAGTCTGTCTCTCTGTCTGTCTGTCTGTGTGTGTGTGTGTGTGTGTGTGTGTGTGTGTGTGTGTGTGTGTGTGTGTGTGTGTGTGTGTGTGTGTGTGTGTGTGTGTGTGTGTGTGTGTGTGTGTGTGTGTGTGTGTGTGTGTGTGTGTGTGTGTGTGTGTCTGTCTGTCTGTCTGTCTGTCTGTTTAGGGTTATGTTATTTTTTACTTCCACCTTTTTTACTTTCCAAAACCTGGCGTCTGTATTACCCATCACTCAAAATGACCACCTATTGCCCGATAAGAAAGTCAGGTGTTTTACAAGTACCAGGTAGTGTAGCTAAAAGCTGCTAGTCTCAACAGAAATGGGGAGAAGGACAGACGTCTGGCTCTACATCCCCTTTTTACTCATATTCAAACTTTTAAGTCTTTAACCCTACCTGATGCTTCACAAAATTCACTTTCTAAAGGTTCTCTCTACAAAGCTTTATTCTACAGTTACTGCATATCAAGAAGCAGTCTTTAAGACTGTTAATGGACTTATTATGGATGAAACTTGCAGAAATCTCCTTTTAAATGAGGAATTGTCAACTTGCAGGCTTCTGTCACAGCTGGCAGCACAGGGTCGACCTAAAGTACTCAGATAGTTTTGTCTGGATACTTAAATTCTATATTTCGTTTCACTGTTTATATGTCTGTCTTAATATGTTTTCATGACATTAATAGTTGCTGACCCTGTGACCGTTCAGATCTAGTCTGTGCCCTGTTTGAGGGGTCATGAAGCACAGAACAGGAATTAGAGCAGGAGTTCAATGGAGGCTTTTTTTGAAGTCTGAGTGTTGGAGTGAAGGTATGTCCGCAGGTTGTTCCATAGCTGCACTATTACAGAAATGTTCATGCGTGTGTCATATCTCTGACATCAGGACACAGCATGGCAGAGACGCTCACAGTCGCCCTGCGTGTTGCTGAGGAGGCAATAGAAGAGGCCATCGCTAAGGCAGAGGAGTTCAGTGACAGCTTGGTGAGACATTTATCATTTATCTCTCTTTTCTCCATTTCCTTCCCATCCTCCGCTCCTTTCCCCAGGCCTCCTTCTTGGTCTCTGTATCAGTAGGATGCCATGTTTTTTTGGCTAAGATGTCTGCACAGACCCTCTCCTGATAATACACATTCACTTTTAAAATAGTGTATTTGAATGTGTGTGTTTGTGTGTGTGCAGGAGAAGCAGAATGAGGCTCGGTATCTACGGGACCACAAAGAGGAGCTTATAGAGGAACTCGCCACAACCATTGTACAAAAAGTAAGTCCAGCCAGAGTTCATTATATGTTTTGAATGTTTACTTTTCCCTCACATTTTAAGAGATGTTAATCAGGTCAAGTCTCAGTTCTTATTTTTACTGTTTGACCGGTAGACTATTAGAAAGTTTAACAGCATTTTCCTTCATTTATCTGTTAAGAAATCGCAGAAGAACATAGAAAATAGTTACAATCCCCTTCTAAAATGCATATGACAGCTCTGTTCTAGCAAAGGGCACATTGTCTTAAAATATCTAATTTTAGTTGAAATATAGATTCTAATGAAAATCCATTGATCATCATCATGTCTTGTAAGTTGCATACATAGCAAGTGGAGGGGGAGTGTGTAGTTAATGATAGCCTTGCACCTTTAGATAATATTTGTCGAAAGTGAAATAAAAAAATGTTTTCAATCAACACTTTAAGCATAATATTTCATGTCAATTCAAATGGAAACTGGATTTTAGATTTTTTCAAAGTTTCATTGTAACAAATTATTCATGCCTAAGTGTAAACATGAAACGCTTTATAGGATTGCGTTTTCCAATTTTCAATCATGATTATAATCTATTATTAATATGACTTTTATTTTCTTTCCTCCCTCTCTTTTCTCTCCTCTCTCTCTCTCTCTCCTCAGATCATCCAGAGGAGGAAGCGCTCAGAGATGCAGACAGAGTATGACTTTGTCTGGCCTCAGCCTCAGTCCATGATCCCGCCCGATGAACTCCCCTCTCCGTCTCAGACGCAAACCTCTTCTCAAGGAGCACAGGACACTTTCAAGAACTCCTACACCCTCTGGGTCAGTGTCTGCCTGCACCCCAGCTGTAAAAACACTAAAGAAAGTCAAACATACATAGTCCTGTCTGTGCGTCCTGACTCTGGGAATCACTCTTCTTTGGTGCCTTGTGTGTTTAAAGAAGGGAGGTTTTGTTTTTCCAGTTGACAGTATGTATATTTCACTTTACAACACATACAGTATATTGTTCCCCTGTCAGTGTGATTTTAAAAAACACACAGGAATGCTTTGTTTGGCAGCAAAATCACTGTTACTATTCAGTAACACAGGGTACATATGTGTAGACGATGTGGTCCCATTTGTCATGTTTCTGAGTCTATTTCTTTGCCTGATCTCCTTTTTTGGCTCTTAACGTTTCCAAATTCAAATTCAATTTCTTCAAATAAATTTGTATTTGTCCCCGTGGGCCGATTCAAAGGCGCACAGAGCAGTAGCATTACAACAGTGCAAAGTAGGCTAAAAAAAAAAACTATTTCATATTAAAAGCATGAAAAGAGGCTCTGGACTCACTCTTTATTCTGTTAATTTAATTCTTTCATGAAGTCATCACGTTTTCAGGATTAAGGTTTGCAAAAATTAGTATGATGCCATTCTAACACTTTTAGATGGTCATGCTTACCATAAAACATTAAAGATAAAGATAAACTTTATTGTTCCCCAATTGGGGGACATTTTTTCATTACAACAGCTCAAAAAACAGGAATATAATTAGCAAAAATAGCAAAAAATAAAAAAATAAAATAAAATAAAAAAAACATGTTTACATCAATTAAATAAAGGGAAAAAAATACAATAATAGAATAATACTAGGTATGTACTCTTCCACTTGTGGAAAGATAGTTATTATTAAAAACACACACAGCGTGTAGCATTATTGATTTTGAGTCACAAGGTGATGATGCTGTTAAACTGTCTGACTGCAGATGAGGTCAGCTTACAGACAAGTCTCTAGTTGTCTTGAAATAAGGGGGAAATGGCCCACCAACATGAAAATGCATCCACAGATGCATGGCAAATTCCTTTTTTCCACAGTTTGAAGTGTTTTACGATGGATTTCCCCTCAAGTGCAGGCAAAAGCATTGCAAGTGAGAACAACATCAGGTCGCACAAAAACACATAGAGATGTATAGTACACACAGGGACAAATCGTCTATGCACACACACCTGGCAGTGGTAGTACTACTAGTCAGCAGGGACTCCTGGAGATTTGTCATCGTCCCGTGTGAGCGAAGCATCAAAGCTGCTCTCCCCGGGCCTCACCATTCTGTTCCCCGCCGCTTCACTCAGGGAAGATCAAAGTCCCGTGAAATACGAAGGGATCTTCCTCATTTGCTCTGCCCACTGTGGGCTGGGCTCTGTTTATCAGCTCTCTGCAAACACACTCTCAAACACAGTGCATTTAAATGCACACTCAAATCAGTGCTGCCTTGACACAGATCCTTGTGGTAATCCTATCTTGCATCCCACCCATCCCCAAGAAGCAATATGTTTTCTTCTCTTTTCTTCTGGACTAATCAGTCAAATCTATACATGGACAAACATGCACCTATAGGCGTCTTACTTGGATGTTAAATTAAGACGTAAGAAGTTTAAATTTTTTTGCCACAAAAATAGGCTGTGGATAACATCTCTAAATAATCTTGGTATTACATTCATCATTAAGGTAAACTAGATGTATATTATCCCTCTTCTTCTTCTATAATTGGGATATTGCTGCATTAGATCTCCTTTATACACACTCACACGCAAATTCATGAAATTTCACTAAGTTGAAGAGCAGCCGCTGTCTGTTTGTTTAGTTGTTTTCTAGCTCCCCCTGCTGGTGAGAAATATTCCTCACAGTCACAGTTGGACAGGCTTCTGTCAGACAATAGATCAGCCAGATGGACCAAAGGCTCTCCTTCAAATTATGTCATTATAGTTTGTGGATATGATGTGTGACTGCTCCTGGCTCCCGCACAGCTTTCTCTGCCTAAGCAATAATAATCTGTCTGGAGCTGCAGGGAGTGTCAGACCCAAGTGTCAAACACAAGCCAAATTACAATTATGTCGCTGTTCTCATGTTTCTTTTTAAATAAAAACGATGATCTTTGTCATTTCACTTTTACTGTGTAGACTTTTGTTGCTCATTAATACCACTGTATGTGTGTGTTTGCAGCGATCCCGGTCAGCGTTCTCCCTCACCAGTGACGACTCGCCAGAGAAAGTCCCTGAAAACGAAGGAGCAGGAGCGAGAGGTAACCTGCAAAATTACGCATCCCTGAAAAGAGAGGGCAAGGCCACTTCTCTGCCAAGCTGGAGGAGTGTCGACCGCCTGGACAACTCCAGTAAATATTTCACACAAACTCTGTTTAATGTGTTTAACTTAGATTACTTTCAGTGTATGCCTTTGACAATAGAAATCATCTTCAAGCACCATAAGGATCTTTCAGATTAGCTTTGTTTATCTTTGGTCATTTACTTCCACAAATAAGATTGAAACATAGTGACTCCTGTATAGCTTTCTGTTGTTGATTCATTTTGACTGGTTTACCTACACTAGTCTTATTAAACATCAAAGAAGTACTTCAGCTCATTTTCTTAAGTTTAAGACTTTGTCATACGCACAACTATTACAGTGAAGCAGTAGCTGGCAGTGCAATTCTTTCTTCTTGCAATCCCTTTCAACAAAGCTCTGAAACATAAAGAAGAGCAAATATTAAAGCGTTATTTCTGAAAGCGATTAAGAATCAGGGCTGTTGTTGTTTCTCTTTTTGATGAAAAACATATTGAAAAGTCTAAAGATGCTGTCAGGAGATATCTCAATAAGTTATTTGCATTCATTGTATTATCAAAGTATAGCTAAATGCATTACTTCTTGTGTTGTGCAAAATAATCAGAATTTTGGATGTGTTTTTAATTTAATGATGTTCTTGGGGGGCGCTGGTGGCGCAGTGGTTAGTGCGCGCGCCCCATGTATGGAGGCTGTAGTCCTCCAAGCGGGTGGCTCAGGATCCAATCCCACCTGTGGCTCCCTTCCCGCATGCCATTCCCCACTCTCTCTCCTTGATTTCCGACTCAATCCACTGTCCTATCTCTCCATTAAAGGCACAAAAAAGCCCAAAAATAAATCTTAAAAAAAAAAAGTATGTTCTTAAACTCCAAAGTATTGCTCTAAAACCTTCTCTAAATTAAGTTTAAAGGTTGTACAGTCTATCCTAAAAGGACTTATTTTGATGAGTTCGTTTTTTCTAATCTTCCTGCTGTCTGTTCATGTTCTTCCAGGTGCATCCTCAGTGCTTCACAGCCCGGATGGTAACTGGATCGCTCTGCACAGCTCTCAGCTGTCTCGTCCCAGCCTGCTAACCAAGAGGAAGAGCCTTGTGTTCAGCGTGTTGGAAAAGGAGTCTGGCGTCGTCTCGGCCTACGATGAGATGGGATCGGACTCTGAGGAGGGCGACGAAGGCTGCTGGGGCGTAGCGCTGAGACAGTTCCGCCGCAAGCTGTCCGACGATACGTACTACACGGACTCGCAGCACGACCCAGAGTGGACGTACACGCAGCACCTCCCCATCACCTCTCCATCCTCAGGCCAGTTCACCAACACAGAGACTCTTAACTCGGACTCAGAGGCTTCGTCGGTTCTGTCTGCGTGTCCCCGGAAACCTCCTCATAACCACCTGAGGAAGAAAGGCCCGCCGGACACCCATCTGCACCCTCATAACCTCTACCACCAACACCTCCAGCAGAACTTCTCTCCTTACCCACACCACTCAGAGGCACTGGATGTGAACTTTAATCCTAAGGTGACTCATCTTTATTTATAACTTTGGAATATTTTGTTCAACAATTTCCTGATGAAAAAAAAAGAAGTTTTTTATGATGTGAAGGGGCAACTTCAGGGGGAAGAAGTGAATTCTATTTAAAGCAAATGCAAGTCATAAACAATACGAACTACATCAACTCAGGTCTTCATTAGGGTCATTGTCAGCAGTAGCTTTTTATGTTTGTTTCCTCCTCAACTACCTTTTCCCTCTTCCCATCCCCTTTGGTTTTCACCTGTTGATGAATCTCTTACTTATTTTTCTACCAATAGGCCTGCACTTTCACGGGGAATTATCCTCCCACTCAACTGATAAGTGTCAACCAAGATTTACAAGCCACAATGTGTGCAATGTGTAGGCTATTTAGTTATATTTTACCAGTTAAAATGCATGTTTTTTTTTCTTTTTCAAATGGAGGTCACTTTTACCCGTTCAATAACCTCTTCACAACATGAATAAAGCACAACAAACCCAAAGTATCCACAGAACACCAACATAGAACCCAGACTAAGACACCTAGAACTCCTACCCCTTTGTCTTCAAATTGTGTGTTATAATGTTTGAGAGGATGAAACCAAACTGAAAAAGTATGTTGTTCAACGGAAAAAGCATTACATCAACATGAAACATTAAAAGCATCAAATCAGATGAACATTACAATTCATGTTTTTATTTCCCTGCAGTGTTGGAAAAGTATTGACATCCTCTTTTTACATTTAAGTAATATCCAAATATTTTTTAAAAATCCGAACAAAGTAAGAAAATCTGTGTATATGATCCTTCTAAAGTTAATGTAAAGAGGAAAACTGCACTTAAAAAGTCACAAAAAAATGAACTGCTTCACAGAATTTCATCCTGGTGGGTGAATATTATCATTTGACATTGTTTGCTCGAAGATGTTTATTCATCAATTCTGAGGCGGCCTTAAAGACTTCTGGCTGAAGGCCACTAGGTGGAGCTATTTAAACTTCTTTGTATACAATAAACTGAGTCCAGTTCGATCAAATTGATCAGGCTCATTTGGGTCACATGATAAACCTTTTGGGGGGGGTTAGATGATTAATGCATCAGGGAAGAACAGATAGAAACTTTCAACTAGACAAATCTATGGTCATTTTTCTGACATTTATGATATTTGGAAAGAGTAATTTCAATAAAATAATGTCAGAAGTTTTAACGGAGGGGGGATCTTATCTATGGAAGTGCAAACAACTCTTACACAGACAAATTGCTTCACATATCCTATTTGACATGGATATCAAATGAATAAGGCTGCCTTACAGCAAGAAGGTTCCTGGTATGAATCCCCGTTAGGAGCCTTTCTGTGTGGAGTTTGAAGGTTCTCCCCGTGCATGTGTGGGTTGTCTCCAGGTACTCCGGCTTCCTCCCACCGTCCAAAGACATGCTGTCTAGGTTAATTGGTGACTCTTACCCCGTAGGCACGTGTGACTGTGAGTGTGGCTGGTTGTTTGTCTCTATATGTCGGCCCTGGGATTGACTGGCGCCCAGTCCAGGGTGTACCAGGCCTCTCGCTCAATGACAGCTAGGATCGTCTCCAGCCTCCGGCAACCCCAAATAGGATAAAGCGGTTTAGATAATGGATGGATGCAATGTTACCAGTTTGAAATGTGACCTAATATTTAATGGAAATACTCAATTAAAGTTCCTTCAATTGCTTTGTTTCCCCCTTGTTCCCAGGTGATGGGAGACAGCAGTGAGGCAGAGGAGAAGCAAAGTGACCTCATCAGAAGGTCACGGCGACGCAGGAAAAGCAAGAGGGAGTCGTCGTCAGAGCGGAGCAGGCCTGGAAGCCAGACTCACTCACAGACAATCTACCCATCAGTGCAGGTAAACTATCACACCTTCGAAGCAAGTGTTTTTTTAGTTGATTGTAACAGAAACTGACTTGGAGCTCCCATAGGGCCAGTGAGCAATTAAGAGGTTGTAAACTACTTTTTCTCCATGGGGAGGCAGCAAATTACAGCGCTGTGTTTGATGATGCGATGCAGACTCAATATCGCTCAGTTTTTCTGTTTTGTTTGTACATTTTGCTTAATAGTGATTTGATTTTGATGACTTATTTTTCACTTGTTTTTTTGTCTGCTCATCTCCTCCCTCAAGGAGAACGGTGGCTATCTACTCAACGCCCTTTTGAAGAGGAGTATGAGTGAGGAACAGTCAGTACCAGACAGTATGCCAATGGCCACAGCTGCACCAGAAGCTTTCAAATTAGATGCCATGACACCCGAGTCGGAAGACTTTCACACAGTTCTCCAAAATTCAGCTGCACTCAGCTCCCAACAGCCCCAACCTCTGGCTCTGGGTTCCCAGCATTCGCCCAGCAGCCCTGGGCCCGTAGATCCTCTGGAAGAAGAGCTACGGTCCAGACTCAACCAAATGGTCAGCCGCGCCAACAGCAAAGACAGCAGCTCCTCTGAGGAGGAGTGCACAAAGCGAGCTGCGGAAAAACAATTAGATAACGAAAGTGACAGACAGAGAGAGAAGACAAGGCCGAAAGACACAGACAGAGACAGAGAGAGGCAGAGGGTTCTGGAAAGGTTACGAGACAGGAACAGCATTAAGGAGAGAGAGAAAGCAGGTGACACAGTCAAGGTGAACGGAAAAGAGATGAAAAGAGGTGAGAGACTAATTAAGAGTTCTTCGGTGAGAGAGGAAAGAGTCGGGAGGAGATTAGAGAAAAGGGTGGAAAGTTTGAAGGAGAAATTAGACGAGCAAGAGCAAAAGAGAGGAGAAAGAAGAGAGCTGAACAGACAAAGCAAGAGACAACACAGAAGAGACGCGGAGAAGGAAACAGAGCAGAAAGGAGGAGCAAAAAGAAGTGGATCCAGTGCAAGTTCCCCTGCTATTACACCTTTATCCCAGGAGGGGGTGCTGTCAGACAACCAGGTAGGGAAATTAAGAGAAAGTACAGTAGATGGGTTTGTGTGGCTGCTCACCTTCTGCTTTCGTCTTGCCCTGCTTTGGAAGTACAGTCCGTCTGCCTTTTGAGACATTTCACTTTTACTCTAAATGTCCCTTCATCGTCTCATCTTCCTCTCTTATCCTTGTACTTTTGTGACAATCACTGCTGTCCTTCTCTGTCCCTCACCCTGTGTTTTACCCCCTTCCTCTGTGCTTTCCTCCTTTCTCTTTCTTTGCTTGTTTGTGTGTTTCTTCGTGAATATCTGCCTGTTTGTGTCTGCTTGTGCGTGTGTGTCAGGAGCGACAGAATGACTTGGAGCAACAACAGAGGCTTCAGTTGCTCTCCTGTCTATTACAGCAGGTGAGATATCAGCTGGAAACAAAGGATTCCCGTGATGTCATGCGTCCCACATTATGACTTACACCTCCTTATTAAACATCCAACTGACCATGTATACATTTGTCAGTTACAGATAATTTGTGCTATTAGCTGTCATCTTCACCTTCTGGATATTTAGCTATATACAACATGTCCATCTTTGTTATCTGAAGGGACAGTCTGTAAAAGCAGGTACAATAAATGAGTACAATAAGTTAAAGTCAGTTTTTCGGAAAAAAAAAATAAGGGCACTGAAAATTATCTGAAAATCAACTTTATTACATCCTAAATGAATCCTCTTGGTCAATGTCATTATAAGTCACATATTGTGTAAAATACACTTTACCATGTTTTCCAAACATTAATATGTGTCCCTAGTCTGTCTAGAAGCCCCTCAATTATAAATTGGGTGTTCAAACAGGCTGTTTGGAGATGTTTTCCCTTTGTTATGCCATAAAGGGAAGTAACCCCTCCCCCAGGTGGGTGACACTCCCACAGCTAGGTGTTTGTTCTGCCATTTGAGTCTGCCTTCTCAATGTAAACTAAAAGGGGACATGGTGTGAGAAAGCTCAAGCCGCCCAAGCCACCCGAGCTCTTTCTAGAGGTGCGTCGTCAAACATAGTTCACTTGCATTTGAAGCTATGGACACAGAAACAGCCTGTTCTGAGCAGGGCTGAAATAGAGGGAGTTATAGGCATGATCAAATACAAGATCAGAGTGGATCTTTGGCAAGAAACTTCAGACATTATTTGGGGAGCACTGACACTTACAGTATTTAAACTTGTTGATAAGAAGTATATGTGATCTTGTTGTAAGGTCCAATCAAAATGATTTAAATGCAATACAAAGAGACTAGAGGCATCTGTGTATCAAACAAATAATTCTAATTTATACTTTATTTATCCCGCTTTGCTCAATGGCACCTCAGCAGTGCTCAGAAAGTGGACTGGCACCTCTCCAGCTACCGGGCCAATTTCCAGACTTGGTCTGTGCTGGGACTTGAACCGACGACCATCCGGTTACTAACCCAAGTCCCTACAGACTGAGCTACTGCCATAAAAACATCATTTTTATTAATGGGCAAAGCTATGGTCTAGATACCTTACAATGCTACAATTCACTTAGCAGACACTTTTATCCAGAGTGACGTACATCAGAGAGTAGGTACTAATCCATTCATACCACGCCACTGAAGCAGCGGGAGTAATGTGGGGTCAGGTGTCTTGCCCAAGGACACATCGGACATGTTGCTCAGCTGGGGATTGAACCCTTGACCTTCTGATTGTGAGGCAATGACTCTACCAATTGAGATACAGCCACCTGAAAGAAAAAGATGTCAAGATTTCAAGTTCTACATGTCTTCTCTGACTCTTTAGGTTAAACACGTGGACACGTTAAAACCCCCCAAAAAGTCAGATTGAAAGACATGTAAATCCCACACACATGCACTTACGAGCTCAGCTCTGTGCTAGTTGTACATTAGAAGCAAGTGGGTCAATGCTTGTCATTACCCAGGCTAATTATAAGGGCTCCTGTGTGAGTAATGTGTGCCTTTCACATCGTGTATGAAACATGTACGAGGAAGATCTATTTTTATTTTTCACAGCGCCCATTGAAACCGCCTCATCTTTTACCTCATGTGAATAAGACAAACATGTCCATGACTGTCATGCTTTACAGCTCTTTGGTATTTATTTCCAATTAACCTCATTTTCTTGAAGCATTTACCACTCAAAAAAAAACATGACAATGGTTGAATGAAACTGACTGAGAAAGCCTACACTTTGCCATTCAGGGAATTGGTAATGAGGCATTTTCCTTTTTAGAAAAATGTAATGAATGTCTTGCTGACTTAAAATTCAGAAAGATATGAAATATTTTCGTGAACATTCAAATATATACATGAGCATGAATGCATGAAATGGTACAGCGTGCAGGTATAAGATATGTTTAAAATCCTAGAAGTTGTGCAGAGAGGCTTTTTGCCAACGTTAAAATGCTAACAAACTCACAAAGCTTTTAATCCTGCTTTCTTGCTAAAGTCATATCTTTCAAGCAGACATCAGTTAATTAGCACCAACAACTGTGACTGTTCCCCCGCTCCACTGGCATCCCTCAGGGTTCTGTGTCTGGTCCTCTCCTGTTCGACCTCTCAATCAGCAGCACCGTACTTTGTCATGATCTCTTACTTTGGCATCTACCCCAATTACGTCCAGCTCTACAGTTTCACAAAATTAATCACTACTGCAACCCACTCCACTCCGACCACCCATCTTACTGGGGGAAAAAAACTTTGTTGTAGCAAGCCAACTTCCTATTAAATAAGACATGATCACAATCCATACAAAACCCTTCGCCAAAACTCACAACTTTTCCCTTACTGCCCATAACCTTTCATTAAAATCACGACTCAATTTTTATCACCAGAAATTGTTTCTGCTGCTTCCAAAGTCCTGAAAAAGGAAAATAAGATTTATAGAAGATGGGAATTATCTGCAAACCACAGAACTCTTCTAATAACTCATATTTTTGAATTATTTCCCTTTCAATATAGAAATATATTAAAAAACAATACATGCATCTTGAAAGCCAATAGCAGTGACTCTTTGATCTGAGTAGTGATGGCCTAGTTCTTTAGTCTGGATGAGAATGTCAGACTCTCACTATATTCATTTCTGCATCGACCAATACAGGTCAATATCTCTACTTATCTGTCTTTTTGAGAACACTGAATGTTGATGTTTTTAAAAGATAAGAGGTTTGATATTCTACCTTTCATCTCTCACCTTCTATTGAATTTTGTCTTGACCAAATCGTTGGTCCTCCTCATTCCTACCACCTGACACTCTACCTTTCAGACATCCATGCTGTCTTTCTGACTAAGAGATGGATCAATACACCTCCCATCCTGCTGATCAAAGCTTCAGTCAGTGATTAATTCATTATTGAATTACATCTGTCTCTCTTCACTGCCCTTTCATTTTTGTGCTCAGTATATTCATCTTTTCAGAAAATCTCGCCTTTTAATTATTATTTACCCCAGACGGTCTGAATTTGGGAACAAGCTTGAATTGGGTGAACATCTGTTCCAGTTTGTCAAGACACTGGCTCACTGTAAATACAATGGCTAATATGTTTTTAGCTATTTGTCTACTTAAAAGCATCTTACCATTGAAGTGAGAGGTCTCCACCAGTGAATGTATCCATCAACTTCAAAATTAATTATCTGAGCCTGTGACATTTAACACTCTTTGGTGTTAAAAAGGTCAAAATAGATGATATTTGATCAGAACAATCACATATATTTGGGGATTGCCTGTAAAAGTAATACAATCTTGTGTTTTCGTATATCTTGTAATTTAGGTTTCTTATTAGGAATTTATAGCTGGCTGAAGCACTGATTCATTAGCTGCACACTCAGACGCTAGTTATTATCCTGCAGCCCACTTTTTGAAACAGGCTGCCCAGTAATAAGGGCTATTCAATTCACTGCAGCATTCTTAACATGTTTAAAGCCCTTAAAAAGAAAAGATCAATCACTCCCACAGCTTTGTCTTGAAACCTTATTTGCTTCTTATTTCTCCTTCCTCCTTCCTCGCTGGTCACTTTCAGTTCTTTGTGATGCACCATCTCATTGGCCATCGCAGGTCATGCACTCACAGATTTACAATAAACAAGCGACATTGGAAAAAAATGACAAATATGTGTGCATTTGTTGCCTGCACAATGGTCTTTTACACAACCTTGCAGCTTGAATGGGGTTGAAATGCTGAAATAAAATAACCTATGTATTAAGACCTATAAAGTGTATTTGCTCCCTTTCATTTTTAAATGATAATTATTGCATGTTGTTTCCCACTTTGATGATTTTATAATTACATTCCAAATGTTTTATTTGTTTTATATTTAGTTATATCCCCTTTGTCCCTGAATGTTGTGTTTTTATGTCGCATTAAGCACTTTTTTGTCTTTTTTTATGCAAAGGGAATTGCAAAATAAGTTGTTTTGTTGTCATCAGATTATAGCTGAAACACTTTCTTGTCTATTCACTTTAAATCGTGAAAGTCCAATATTATTTTCCTTTTTGAACTGTTTTTGTATTATGTAGATAACTTACAGCTATACAATGTGTGTTTGTGCGTCTGGGTGTGTGTGTGTGTTTGTGTGTCTGGGTGGGGATGTGTGTTTTTCAAATGAAGCAGAAGTACTCGGCTGCATCTCTCTGCAGCATCACCACAGAGGTACTGAAGGTTTTGAACGCCACAGAAGAGCTGATTGGGGAGGCAGGAGGTGAGAGCTTCCCCCCGTCTGAGTCCACGTGTGCTTCTCCCGTGTCCAACAGTGCAGAGGCCCGCAGGCTGGATCAGAGGCTGACCAAGATGGAGGAGAATGTAATCTCATGAGCCTCTTAGCACAACTGCCTGATTACTGAGGTACAGTCTTACTGTGAACTTAACGTCTTATTCTTTTCTCTGTACAGGTGTACCTCGCTGCTGGTGCTGTGTATGGGCTTGAGGGGGCGCTGGGGGACCTGGAACACTGCGCCCGCAGTATTAACAGTGGAACCACAGACACGGAGCTGGCCTTCTTGGAGGACCAGGTGGCCACTGCAGCCGCTCAGGTTCAGCACTCTGAACTACAGGTATTGGATGGCCCCATATCCAGAATATTTCACCAAGCTAAATTATGTTTTTATTTCATTTAAACACTATGGTAAATGTATGGCTGCAGGAGCTGGGAATCGGCCTCCCAAACTTCCAGTTGAGACACGATTGACTCTACCACTGAGCCACAGCCGCCACACTATGTGTACTGTCATTAATTTTGAACATAAAAATCAATATTGATTCATAATCAAGTTTGGGTTTTGGGGTGACGTTGTATTACTTTCTTCTTTAACCCTTAGCAGGACTAGGATTGAATTTTGATTTTTCTCAGGTTTAAATTTAAGCCTTTTTCACTGTTTCAGATTTCCAACATTGAGTCCAGAATATCAGCTCTGAAAACAGCTGGGTTGAATGTGACTGCCTGCAATCGCTTCTCCAAGTTTAAGCCAAAGGCCAAGGTAATAAACGGCCTTTAACGTTCCCTCTCAACTCTCCCATATAGTCCTTTCTATATGTATCTTTGTTTGGTTTTGTAACAAGTATTTGCTGAAGGAATTTAAATTTAAATTTAAGTTTTGAGGTTTTCTGGATCTATCTGCCTTTTTACTCTGTTTATTTAAGTTAATCGTTCAAAATCTCTGATTACAGCCTCAAACTTTGGACTCTTCACGCCATCAAAGGAGGAAGCTTCCAGCCCCTCCAATGAAAGGTACAAACAAGTTTAGCACACATGGACACGGTGCTAAATAGACCAAAATAAAATTATGGGAACATTTGAATTAAAGAGGACATATTATACCCCTTTTCTACCTTTTCAAACAGTCCCCTGTGGTCTAAATGAAACATCTGTGCTGTGCTTTGGTCAAAATATAACATTAATCAAGCACCAGAGGAGGTTTGTGACCCTGTATAAACCAGCTCTCTCAGAACGCTCCGTTTTGGTGTATGTCTCTTTAAATTCAATGAGCCCCCCCCGAGTGTTCCTGGCAGACATCACTCCTCTGTAGCAAGAATCAAAATGACAGACCTGCACAAAAGTTTGTACTAGGCTGGGGATGGAGTCCATGGGTGGAGATACAAATGAAGGGGAGGGGATTTTTTTTTTTTTTTACCAGAATCCTACTTGTGACAGTAAGAGTTATGCAGACCACAAACAAAGGACTGGATGGGTTTATTTCACATGTTGAGGGTCGGTAGACACTCAGGTTACCCAAATATATGTTCAAAAACACTGTAAAAGTGATTTTTCATAATGTGTCTACTTTAAGTAAATGAACTCGAATTAAAATAAAAGTATTACCCTGCATACTGTCCACCACACAGGCAAACTGGTTATGGCAACTAGAATTCACCTATGCTAGTGATTATTTCAAGTTATTGATTGGTTCGGAAATAGGGAACGGTGTATTTCAGTCTTGGAAGAGAACTGAAGCTGAATTTATCAGTGGACAGAAAGTTAAAAGTAAAGTGGGCTTACTAACCCGATGCTGATTTACACAGTATAGTGTTCTAGTCTCCTAACCACAAGCACTACTAACAAGCCCTGTATACATGTACTCTGTGCTGATGTGTTAGTATGAAACAAAGACGGCAAAGGGGAGCTGAGGGAACACTTATCCACCTTTAGTTAACATCATACATTTAGGCTTTGTCCTAAAAGAAGAGCTTGGCTGCTGAATGGATGTCTGCTAGAAAGGGACCTGCGTAATTGAAAAGCTCCATTAGATGTAAAGCAACAAAATGGAAACACACACAGTACAGGAGGGAAAGGCTGTTTTATCAAAGTTGGATTCTTTTCATGTCAGTGAATGGCCTTTTTTTCTGTTGGGTCAGTCTTTATTTTCATTTTTGTCTCGTTTTTTTCTTCACCAGCATCTTCACAATAGCTCTGATTAATGTTGGCTTTTTTAGCACTGCTCCACACAGACAGCAGAGCAGGACAATGGGCAAAAATCAGTGCTCAAGACATGTAATCATATCATTGATTCCAAGCTTACTGTGTCCTTTTTATCACTCTGCTATACAGTATGCATCCCAGAGAAGTTTTTTCTTCCAGAACTTATTTTTCTAATTCTTTGAATTTTTTGCATTGCAGAAAAAATGGAGCCAGAGCAGCAGGTGAAAGCGTTTCGGCCATAGTGACAGTCAGCAGCACAAGTCCCTCAGGGCCATTTCAGAGCTCCGGGGACATGGGGGCCCTTCATCCAGTGCCTTGACCCAGTGTCCACCTCCAACTCCAGGCCAAGCAGGGGCCAACACCTGACCTGTGTGGCCCATCAAGCACTCAGCCCTCAGCCCGGCATGGTACCACATCAGTCTAATGCCCCACAGAGGACATGACTGACCATTTTCTCTTTTTCCACTTTACCCTTCATTTTCACCTGCTCACCACATGCACAACAACAAGCAAAGATGACTCCACAGTCTCTGCCTTAAAATCCGCTCACTCCTCATGACCGGACAGAAAGAAAAAAAAAGAAACCTGTACAGACGAAAATAACTCATCACCTTTTCTATCTGTTTGCAAGAGTATTGTGATTTACTGTACAATGAAGATGTGGATTAATCATGTGAAACTCTCTGTGATTCAGTGTCCCAAAAAGAGGCTGTATTTTATATTGCATCTTCTTTCATGCCGAAGGACATTTCAAGGAATGGTCTCAAACTTTCAGCCCCTACAGAGCTTTTTTTTAATGATTGTCCATTTTCACACACTCAAACACACACAATTATCTGATAATAAAAGATCATTTATGTAATGATTGTAACACCTTTTTACATTATAACCATTTTAACTGGATTATAGTGTTTAGATGTGCAATGTTTCAGGGACTCAACAGTTTTTGACTGTCCTTCCTGACACTAAAATTGGTAAATGGCACAGCCAAAAGTTAGGAAATCTGTGTTCCTTTCCAAATAGTCTAAAATTATAATAATACAAATAATAATAATAAAAATACATTTTGGGAAAGTTACAGTTGATGATGGATACCAGTCTCTTTTCTGTATGGTAAAAATATTTCCTGTTTGATTGACTTAGCTCAAACTGAAAAGAAAAGGTAGCCTGGCTCTTTCCCAAAGTTAGACAAAAAAAACTTCAACATTTTAACACAAAAAGGTGGATTTTCATTTTTCCCCTTAAGCCAGTCTCAAGTTGGCTTGCGCTCATGTTTACAGGAGCCTGCTTTTTATTTCCCGACACCCCTCTGCCAAATGCTGCACACGTGTGCTGTGACTGGCCATTTATTTTGTGCTGTGATTGGAAAGCCAAAAGATAAGAAACAGAACTTTCACTCAGGAGACCACCATTTGTATCCCCAAGAAAAAAAGACACATTTCACAAAAGGCCATTTTCCTGTGATTTCAGACTCAGGGTGGGAAGCTGAAATGTTGTTGTCATGTCTTACTGCTTTGTTTCAGTTTCTAAGTCCTGAAAATCCAGACAAAGATCAGGGCACGAGTTAAAAACTCATTAGATATCTATATCCCATCAGCTGCAATCAGGACACAGTTAACGTTAGCTTCCTTGCTAACATTTTTGTTTGAGAATCACTGATATGATGGAAAAGGTGAATATTAATTTCAGATATTAACGCTCATCTTAAACACATACAGTATTTATAAGCCTGCCTTGAGGTAAAACTCACTGGATGTATTCATGCTTACAATGTAATGTGAGCTATGAAGCTCTCTTCAAGCTCCACTGTTCATGTTGCTGTGTTATCCAAGCAAGCATTAGTGAATCAATGACATTAGATTATTTTAAACTTTGCACAAGATAATAGATTATTTTAATAGCTGACTACTTTAGTAACACTTACAATGATGTGTCTACTTATTTTTACTTCATGTTAGCAAGCCAAAAATACAATGTTTGAAATATTGTACATTGCAGACGCCACTGAAATTAAGTTTCTGGGTTTTTTTAGACCTTTTTTGGGATCTTTGCCATGCGTACATTTGTTAATTGGTTTAAATGGAAGTGCTGTTAAAAAGTAAGGCTTCTACTTCATTTAGCCACTTTTACACAGACTTCACGCTCCTCAGACTTCCACCCTGACTGGTTAAGTCACTGAAAAATGGCCTCCGTGTGACTAAAGTCTATGATAAACTAGGTCATACTTAAACCCAAATTGAGAGCTGTGTCAAAGGATACAGACAATGCTCTCTATTTTATTACACTAGGAACTAATGGCTTTCTTGACATGAATAAAAAACACATTGAATAAACCTACACCATTCAAACTGCATCTCATCACCATACCCTTTAATATTTTTACCATCCAAATGGTGCTTACCAATCTCATACAATGTTAGCAACATAGAACCCTGAAACACAAGACTTTCCCCTTTGTATCCCATCTAGCATGCAGACTCAAGAGTTTGCATTTTACACAGCTCCTCATCTTACTCACAGGTAAGAAAGTATTATTCCAAATGACCACATATTTGTTAAATAAATGTCAAGCTTAATGATTAATTCATATGGGTCTTTCTCTCCAGTTTATTTAGCTTAGAAATGCTTCAGGTAACTGCCCATAGACAAACATAAATAGGTGTATGAAGATTGATACATATGAGAATGCTAGAAAAACTCAGTTTTAATCAATCTAGTTGAGTCTGAATTTCAGGTTTGGTCTGACAGCTTTCCCTCATTCGGTATTCCTCAACCCACAGTCATTTTCTTCCTCTCTGTCTTGTCATTTCTACGTTTACTTTCGAACATTGTGGCCTTTTATTTGAACAAAAAGTATTTCACCCTTTGCTGGGTCATGTTCAAACTTTTGTGTTGCATTGAGAAAATGCATGGAGGATTTTTACATAATTAAGCCTGAGGGGCTCTATATATCAAATGCCATGAAACCATGATTTTGTTACAAGCAATTTATTTTTGTACTTAACTAAATGTTTTTATGCAATACCACTCAGAAAACTACTATTGCAAATCGAAGGCTTGTTCCTCTCCTTACAGGAGCCCTCCGCAGTCAGTACATCTGAGACTCTTGTGTGCAAAGACTCAAAGCACTTTCAGTGTTTGCCTGCATTTGCCGTTTGATATTCTGCTGGTGATGATGATGGTAAATGTGACGAAAACACACCTGACAGAACACAGAAGGCAATTTTGGAGTGGCAAGTACGATTCAGCACTCCTTTGACTTTCAATTTGAGAATACTGCCTTTCATCTTTGGCTATTTGATTTACTCTGACCACTTACATTGCTCCAAAATCTCAGAGAACCATGCATACAGATGTCAAGTAGGATTGAGATATCAAGATGGACTCCTTGGACTAAAGGGTGTGATGATTTTCTGTATGAATGCTCTGCCCCTTCTCTTAGTGACCTTTTCATCCCAGCCTTTCACATCTCTGGTTTCTTGCACATTGATCATGTACTTTTGTCAATCTTGTTCTCCAGAGTTGTCAGTGTATAAAAAGCATGTTTCTGGTTTTATCAAAAATTGATGTAAAATTTCCCAAGAGAAGCACAGCCACAAGGGTCCAATCATCAGTGTCCTGTATTTTTCTAATGTAAAAAAAAAAGAAAATATTAACTCATCACAATTTGTTAATAAATGTATATGTGTGAAAAGATGGATACAATATAGAATAATGTGTGTATTGCCCAATCATAATTGATCAATCTCTCAGTGTTGTGTGCAAGAGGCTGTGTATTATTGTCATGACTTGTAGGGCTGGATTCACACAGGAAGTCTAAGTTTCTATTGGAACTGTGTCCCAGATACTCAGAGATTATGAAATTCACGCAGAGCTAAAAAAAATAAAAATCAGTTCCTGTATTTGTTCCTGTTTAAATCCAGCGAGAATGAGGCTCACTGTGCACAGCTCCACAGGACGGCCATTCACTTTCATGTGCAATAGTTTGTTGCAATCCATACAACATGATGGGGAAAAAATTAACAAGCAAAAATACAGATTCTCTATGTGCCACAGTTCTCTGAGGAAAACCATGTATTATGAAATGAATAAAATTTGCAAACTTAAAAGTTTTTTTGGAAGAAAAATGTTTGTGTACTTGCAAACACGGGAAGGTGACAGCACAGATGGAATCACAACATCCTGGTTTATTTATCAATATAGAATGCATTTATATGTACAGATAAATTCGGAGAGTGATTTCATCAAGGATCATGTCCTATCATGGGGAAATGCAGTCAAGAGCTAGAACAAAACATCAATCATAAAAAAAAGAGGGAAAAAATGCAGACACTTGGACACGCTGTCATGGTAACCAATCCCCCCCCTCAACATCCAGCACGTTTCTGAGGTCCTCCTTGTTTCTAAGGCTGTTGAGAAGCAGACCCAGTACCCTGACGACAGGTTGCAGCCCTTCGCTGCTCACGCTGCTGTGCCTCTTACCGAAGCGCCCGATGGGTCTGACCCCACGTCCCACGTACCAGAATGGGTCTATCTCTGGACCTGGACACCAAAGAAGAACACCAGTGTCAGCAACAGTATTTGAAAACAGAAACATTACAACCATAAAATCAGTAGCCCATGCTTTGACCTAAATGATTATGTCCATAGAAGACAGATTCTAATTTTCATGACAAAGTTTTGGCTATATGATTCAAAGTCATTGTGACAAGTATGCCTTTTTGTAACGGTATAACAAGACCCAAAAATGTTTATATGTTTATAATTATTTTCATATTATTTTCTACTGATCGTAACATACTTTTATACATATAAGTGAACATAAATTATTTTCTAAATATGATTAGATGCATTCAGGAACTTGTTTGTAACACAATTTGATGTTTTCCTACATATTTAATTGTCTAATTATTGATTTCCATAAGAAAAACTGAATTTAAACTATTAAGTCTTTGATCCTGATACATTCAAATGAATGTATTTACTGTGTATTCCTCTAGCAATTTAAAATAAAATAGGAACGTATAAAAAACATTTACTCTTTAACCTCTGCGCAATTAAAATGAAATAATTAAGTAGCCTATATATATATTGTTATATACACTCAATATTACTGTACATGTCATGAATACAACAATAATCCAAATATTTATACAAAGTACTTAATAAAAGTGCAAAATATTACAAAATAAAACACATGATCTTAAAAATGGATGGGCAAAAAAAAATGAACACAGAGATCAAGTAGCATAAACGAGCCCTCAGAAATCCGGGGTTTCTAGCATACATTTTTAATAATAATATCTAAATTTTAGATTTTTTTTTCCAACTGTGAGAGGAAAGGAAAGAGGAAAGTTTTTTTTTTTTTGTTTTTTTTTTTACAAACAATCCATAAGAAATAAAATAGTATGCTAAACAGCACTATGAACTTAATAGAAGTAGCCTAACACAAACAGACCATTAGTGTAATAGCCTGTGCTAAAAGATAGATATCACCAGTCTGTCCTCTTCACTTTAAGTCTCTTTTATCTCCAAGACCAATTTCAACAATTTTTGCTTAAGAAAAAAAAAAAACAGAAAAGTAACGAAATGGTATTATAAAGTCATGTCTTACTTCTGTTGTCGACATTGTGAACGATGTGAAAGTCGTGCTCCACCGTGGTGCTGTGAGCGCTGCTCAGGCTGGAGGAGAGGACGAGGAGCAGCGCGAGAGCTGCGGGCACCCAGCGGCTCGTGAGGACGCAGAGCCGGACATCAGCCGCTCTCCCGGGCAGCATGCTGTGAGGTCACTCCGGGAACTGCAGAGGAGGGACGGAGGGACGCTGGTCAGTCAAGTATCACTTAACAGTTAAAGATCTTCAAAAACAGAGAGTAGTCACTGAGAAACGAAAAAACAAACTTTAATTTTTTTATATTAAAGAAGGCTAATATTGTACCCAAAACAATGTCAGAATAGGTTTACCATTTATACCTCGATTACTCTTCTTACAGGCATATGGTTAATTTTGAATAAACATATTCATGTCCATTATTTAGTCTTAAGTGCATTGTAGATAGCCTATATCAATATAGTTATTCACTCAGTTATGAGGTGGTTTTTATTAATAATATTATTAGAATAGTTTGCATAGGTTTATCTCAAATATATTTCAGTGATATATAACTCCACCAACGCACATGTGATCATCTTGCATTAAAGACAATTAATTTAATAGTCCTAATAATAGCCTAAATAATAATTTTAATATTTACCCCAAACAGCAGCTCCTTACCTTGAACTTTGGTGACAGGCTGAGGTCAGTTGGTGGAGTAGAGTCGCTTATTGTTAAGCAGGTGTGCCTCAGCTTATATATCCACGTTGCTCATGTGTGTTGGATGATGAATCAAGAACGTCAGTCGCACACTATGATCCCAGGCTACAGGATGCACCCCACCACCACCACCACCACCACCCCCCCCCTTCCCTTCTCCTCCCACTCTTAAACCACCTCAACCCTTTGAGAAGGAGGTTTTGATTTGGAGTCTTCCTGATGCCTGTCACGCAGCAAAGCAGTCCATCAGGCAGTCAATGACATGAGGACAACTTTAAATTAGTGCACAACATTGGGGGAGACCCCGCATCTCGAATAGACCTGTCAGACAGGGACCTGGAACGCTGGTGGGCGTCTTTTTGATGAGCTTTTCATCAATCAACCTGGATAAGGACAAATTGTAAAAAAAATCTCATTGTCTTGTCACCAAAAACTGAGCTTCAGGAACTTTGTCAATAGTAATCAGCTTTAACTACAAAGTTTAGGAATGTTGCAGCCACATTTCTTCCAATACAAAGCTCACATTTAACCATTTCAAAGGCTATCATATAAAATATGATCTTTTTTGTGCCATTCAGTAAGATCATACTTTAAATTGGGCCGCTGTTGGCGCAGTGTTTAGTGCACACACCCCATGTATTGAGGCTATAGTCCTCCAAGCTGGTGGCCCAGGTTCAAATCCTACCTGCGGCTCCTTTCCCGCATGTCTTTCGCCCGCTCTCTCTCCCTGATTTCCAACTCTATCCACTGTCCTATCTCTCCATTAAAGGCACAAAACGCACCAAAATAAATCTTAAAAAACAAGATTATACTTTAAATTAGTGAGGGCTCAAATCACAGGGAAAGTGAGCAGTAAAAATACATCTTGAGAGTTGACAGTGATGAATCATAAGTGAAAGGCCAAGCTAAGGTGAAATTCCTCACTCAAATGTATTCAGGTGCAACATCTCCTTTGGGCCAAAATGGATGTGTGTAAAGGTCACAATATGAAGTGACAGTGCTGCTTCAAATGTGACCATGTCGCTTAACCTTTAGATGTGCACAAACACAGAAAGGAGTTACATTTCATTCATTTCAGCAACAAGCTAGGGTTCTGTGTATGTTTAATAACTTATGGAAGACATGCATGCTTGTTCAATGCTTAGAAAAAAGGGCTATACGCACACCACGTAGGTACAGGGCAATACAAAAAACAACAGATAGAAGAAGATATATTATCACCTGATGAAGACCTCCGATTGGAATTGCTTGGATTAAGTAAAAATCTTTTGTGGCGTTTTGTGTGCTCATATCTTCTTAGATATAACAGAAGAAGATATGATTAGAAATTGTAGATCTCAAAACACGACCGAAATTTCTGATATCAGATTCTCTTGAAAGTGCATTATTGGGTGATGAATCCTTGAAAGTATATCAAATTACACTCTTACCCTATACAATTAAAATATGATAGTTACGTATAAGTATGTGTGTCAATGCATTTGTTCATGCATGAATACGCAATTCCACCCTAAAGCTGTAGTTTGGTTCAGGAGAAGGAAGGAAACCATAATTTGTTAATAACTTGTAAGACCTGATGTTGCAGACACAAGCCCTGCCTGTGGGAGAATACATAGCTGGAATCAGAGGATAATAACTACCTGAGGATGTGTAATCACACCAAAAAATGGGAGAATCTTTGGCTTTAGGTGTAATTCATATATGGTAAAATCCCTTCATTGCTAAAAGTTGTGTAATTTATTTCTTCTTTGATTCCCATGTTTGGTCATGTTGATACTTCTTACCAATAGATTTAGAGAGAACTAAATGCACACCCCAGCTCAACACTATATGCCAGGGTCCGGACTTGATATAAAAGTTGTTTTTTTATTTTGAATGAGTATGAATTATCACAGCTGTAACTAAATCTCTATATTTCATTAAAAGTATTCTGCCTTGGTCGGAACGCCAACGATGAGTTCTTTTGTATTACAATAGTGTCTCTGACTCATGGCTGGTCTCTCCTCTTCCACTATAACATCATGTTCTCATCCTCTCCTGATTGAATGGCTTCATCCTGCCTATGTCGTCATCTGTTTTTGTGAATGGAGGCTCAAAGGACCAGCGGTCAAGTCACAGCGTGACGTGATTGGCCTCCACTTCCTTTCTAATAACCTGGTGAATGTGATTTCTGAGGGATAATGTAAATTTCTCTGTTGTGGGGTGAATAAAGGAATATCTTATCGAGCAAGAAAGCAAGAAAAGTGGCTGAATAAAAGTATTTCATTCAGAAAAAAATCTCCCAAGGTTATGCAGGCTAGAGTATTACTAATATATGTAAGGTTTTGTGGTTCATGAGGGCTCCAGGGAATGGGGTATTGACTGAGGAAACCCTGCTTGCTCAATGATTAACAGCTTGAACAGGCTAGGCTCTGTGGTTCAATCATTCCCCTTGTGTGCTACAGTGTATTTTGTTAATTGCCCCCTAATTTGTGACTCACAGAGTGTGTGGGTCACAGCATTCACTGATCATTGTTGGTCAGCTCTCTTTCTTAGAAAGGACTTGAATGGAAAGTCAATGGTGAGCAGGGTGTGTTTTTTTCTGTACCCTCTAATGTGATTTTGTTACAAAACAAAATGTAGTGGCCACAAGATAATAAAGTCTGTCAAATAGTTGAAACAAGAAGAGGTCAAAGAGCTCCAGCAACACTTGTAGTACGAAGATCAACTTTATTAACAAATTAGGCTGACGCGTTTCGGCTCGTGGCCTTCATCAGGGTCATCAAGAAACAGATTGAAAACATAATTTATAGGGTAGGTACGAAATTGAAAGAAAGGTGCATAAATTCAAAAATAAAGACAACCTATCAAACAAATTGTACTACAAGTGTTGCTGGAGCTTTTTGACCTCTTCAAGCCTTTCAATCTTCATGCACATTGGTAGTTGGGGAAGTTGTGCCAGAAAATCCTCTGCTTCTTCAATAGTTGAGACAATCCTTTTTAAATATTTTAATTTGCAGAGAACATAAACCTGTTCATATAGTGTATAAAGTAAGTCAGAAAATCCAACAAGACATAGCGGAAAGCAGCAATTTAACCAGTGATAAAGTAATGTTGATGGAACTCATCTGTGGCCCAGTGGCCTAATGGATAAGGCATCAGCCTCCGGAGCTGGGGATTGTGGGTTCAAGTCCCACCTGGGTCGAGTTGATAACACAACTCCAGTGGCATGGTCCACCTTATACTAGCTGTGCAGCCTCTGCAGCCATTAGATCAAAGCAGGTAGAAAACTTTCAATCAATCCCCATGATGTGCAATTATAAACCATAATTGTCAGGGGACAATTAGACTTTCAACAATAAATTTACCATCATTATTTGGCATACACATACAACTGTTTCAAGAGCATATTTTTACCATTTTTTACAACATGAAAGACAATTTCTTTACTTAAAAAAAGTAGCTACATCACTAAGTAAAAAGGCTCTGTAACAATTGGAATTGTTGCACTGAGACTTTACCTGAAATAAAAACTCTATTGTCAAAATGTTTTTGATTGGTTGTGTAAATCTAAATGTACTAATATGTAGTAGAATTTAGTATGGCAATTTTCAGTGTGATGTATTCTTTATTAGGTTATAATTAGTGTTAAAGTTAATGGAGCATCCTCTTTGATGCAGGTTAAGATGGGACCCAGAGAATACGACACTTTTTGCTGCCCCCCTGTGGCACAAATCTGTAAACACACATAGGCTAGTGTGTGTGTATACAAAACTGAAAGGCTTCGGTGCATTGGAACTATAGACTTAGACAGGAAACACAGTATATAAATTAAAAAAACAAGAATAAAGATTAAAAAGAAAAAAAATGAAGAAGAGGTTAGGTAACAACGGAGCTAGAGTAGCTCATTTGCTTGTTAAATAAAGAAACAACCATCATCAATATTGCAACAGCTTACGTCACCATAGCCCTACAGTCAGCGCATGCGCAAACCCAAGTGGAAGCGTACGCAACAACAACACACTCAGTAGTGTCAAACTATCGTCAACAACTTTAATGCAGTTAGGGTTTGGGATATACCGAAGACGTGTGTCACTGCTTCGAAACCGAAAGGGGACACTAAATCTGCTGGGGACAACGCCACAGTGAAAACGGAAGAAGAGAGAAGTTAAATCTTTAGATTATTGGGCTACACTTGATGGAAGTGAGCGGTCGTCCGATTCTTATGTTACGCACTTACTTCCTGTTGTCATTGTGGTAGTTAAACAGAAGAAGAGTAGGCTAATGTTTGACATGTCGTGAGAGGACAGGACACAACGTGGGACAGTAGTTTAAAAAAAAAAAAAAAAAACACGGACCCTGTGTGTTTTTTGTATGTCTTCTACATGAGTGTATTGGCAGGATGTCGTTGAGTTCGGGTGGTTGGACTCACACCCCTGGCTTCACAGCTGACCTGTCCACTTCCCTCCCCGGCCATTATGGGGCCTCGCAGTCGCACACCGGCTGCCAGACCGTCCTCATGTCGGTTCGGGTGTCGGTGTGCCATTCTGGGATTCGGCCGCTGTGTCTTCCGGGAGCAGCAGATGAGTCACTCCGCCTGCAGCTCAGCATGGACCCGGGGAAATCCGGGGAATTCCGGCTGTTGCTCCAAGACAGCAGCGGGACTGGCCGGACTGTGGTGAGTTCACGGGCAGCAGGACATGCGGGGCTTGTTGTGGTGTGAGTTTACAGTGGGGGTGCATGTTGCATGAAACAGTTTTGTGTTGGCTGTTGTGGAAATACTTTTTTTTGAATGAATGCACATCAAGAAGGGGTTTCCACTTTTATGTTGCTGCTCTAAAAATGAAACCTGCCACCAGAAGACCCCCCAGGGCAAAATATTAACTGTGAGACCCTATCTCACTTTTCTGTACCTTGTTCTGTTGCCTATTATAGAGCACAATATAATATTATAGTTTCACCTACATGTTTTAATCTGACCTGGCTCAAAGTCTGGTGTCTGTCAGTTATTGTGGTAATTTTTTTCTCTCTTTTTTTTTTTTTCTTCAAATTTGCAACATCTAAAATAGTCCTCACTCATTTTAACAAAGGAAGAGTTTTTAAATTCCCCTCTACTATA